TGCCTAGTGCAGTGTCTTCTCTTCGGGCTGATGGACTTCCTAGTGCAGTGTCTTGGGTTTGGGCTGATGGACTGCCTGCTTCTTCGGCCGATCTTGGCCCTTTTATGCAGCTGGCGATCGCACCTGAGACCGCGATTTTGGTTACGGTTATGGTCTGTCTTCGACCGGGAAATAATTAATTATTACTAACTTATGAGTTGCATGTGTTTTTGTACGCGTTAATGGAGATAGCCAAGCCAATTAAACTAGATGATTCTAGCTTGATCGAATATTTTGTGGATGGCATCCAAGACGCAAGGACAAATAAGGCAATGCTGTACAAAGCTAGAGCTTAAATTTCAGATTGACGTATAGCAGAAATCAAGAGGCGGATCCAAGCCAGTGAGTAAGAATTGGTTGCGGGGTAGGAAAATTGAGAGTTCGACGAAAAATTCGATAGCAGAGAATTTCAAGAAATACTTTAAGTGTGGGGAAAAATCGCATTTAAGGAAAGATTGTCCCAAAAATGATTTTTGTTGTTTTAAGTGTGGTAGGCCAGGGCACCGTGCTGCTAATTGTGAAGTTAACATTATTCGAGATAAGGAAGTCGTTGCTAAGCCGACAGGTATTTTCACTCCATCAGGTTTGGAATTAAAGAATGTAAAGTATGCTACATTTGTGTTCCAAGGTTTATTTGATACTGGAGCAGATTTGTGTTTAATTCGTAGAGGTGTATTCTTGAAATTCGGAAATGTTAAACTGATCGGCCGCGAGAAATGTTTAACCGGTATTGGAGATAGTCAAGTTGTAACTTTCGGTAGCTTTTCGATACCAGTGAAAATGGATGAGATTGAAATGGAGGTAGAATTTCATGTCATACCTGAGGAGGATATTGGTCTTGAAGCCATTTTAGGAAGGACTATTCTTGATCATGTTGATATGCAAGTTTCTAAGGCAGGAACAAAGTTTGTTCGTAGAGTTTGTATTGAGGAAAAATATAAGAAACCAAGTAAGGTAGAATCGTCGTCACGTGAGGAATTGTTTGATGAATTTGGAGGCATTTGCATGTCAAGTATTGATGAAGTTAAGAAGCAGTTCTCTGTGGACGTTTCGCATCTCAGTGAGGCAGATGCCAGATCAGCTATGAGTATGGTCAAAGAGTACCAGCCTCAAAGAAATGTTGATCCACCTGTCAAAATGAAAATCATATTAGCGGATGAGATGCCAGTTTTTCAGCATCCAAGACGCTTAGCGATGTGTGAGCAAGAAATCGTAGATAAGCAAGTGGAAAGGTGGTTGGCTCAGAAGATTATAAAGCCAAGTACATCGGAGTACGCACCACCAGTAGTGTTGGTAGGGAAAAAGAATGGTAGAAAAAGGTTATGCTGTGAATACAGAAAGCTTAATGAGAAAATAATTCGCGATAACTTTTCAATGTCACATATGGATACAGTTTTAGAGAAACTGCAGGGTGCAAAGAATATGAGGATTATTATATTCAGAATCAGATTTTGTTTAAGGATCCGTAGTAGTACAGTACTACGACACTCCGACAGTAGTACAGCGTTAAAGAGGTCGTTAAGTTTTTAGAAGTTCAGGCAACTAACTTTCGTAATCCGAACAGAATAGTAACGGATAGGGGTGCAACATTTACTTCCAATTTGTTCCGCGAGTACTGTGAGGAGCAGAAAATTCAGCATTTAATAATTGACACAGGAGTTCCAAGAGTAAAAGGGCAAGTTGAAAGGATGCACAAGATAGTGATTTCTATGTTGTCGAAATTGTGTCAGGGTAGTTCTGGGAGTTGGTACAAGCACCTAGGAAAGGTACAGCAGATGATCAACAGTGTTGAACCACGAAGTACCAAGATAACGCCATTTAAGATATTAACTGGATTAGACATGCACATACCTATTGATCCGAACTAAAAAAAAATAAATATTAGAACAATCTCTTATAGAAGAGTTTAATAAAGAGCGTGAAAAGATTAGAGAGAAATATTAGAGAACATAGCACGGATACAGCAGGAGAATAAGAAGAGTTTTGACTCAAACAAGAAGATAGATAGCTAGTATAAGGAGAATGACTTGGCAGCTATAAAGCGTACTCAGTATGGTACTGGACTAAAATCGGACGGTTTTTCTTCGCGTCGTCTGCATAGGTAGCCTTCGGTTCTGAGAGAGCCGAGAGCAAAGAAGCGAGATCAGTCGGAGTCGAATTATAGAAACCATGACTGGTTAAAAGAGCAATTTTGGACGGAGCAAATAAAGATGTCAATTAGATCAACGCATCTATTTTGATTTCCATACCAGGAGAAATGGTTGCGTATAGGTCGATTGATATCATTATCAATCAAGATGATGTTGTAAATTATCCAGTCGAATTTCTAAATTCATTGGACTTACCTGGATTGCCGCCATACTATTTACAAGTAAAAGTTGGAGTCACCATAATTATGCTGCGGAATCATAATTCACCACGACTTTGCAATGGTACAAGACTTGCTGTGAAAAAAGTTATGACTAATTTACTTAAAGCAACTATTTTGACTAGGAAATTTTGTGGTGAACACGTTTTAATTCCGAGAATTCCGATGATTCCGACTGACATGCCATTTGATTTCAAACGACTACAATTTCCGATTCGTCTTGCTTTTGCTATGACTATTAATAAATAACAGTCGTTGCAAATTTGTGGTTTAAATTTGGAGCATCGCGTATTTTACATGGTCAACTGTATGTAGCGTGCTCACGAGTAGGCAAATCTTCGGCATTAATTACACTACTCGACACGAGTTTTCCTCAAGGACCAACTTTTTCTTAAAGATTTGGGGCTTAGAAATGGTTTGATGATATTTTTTGTTCTATGACAGAACTTTTTTTTTAAGAATTTTTGAAAACTCTTTTTTTTTAAACTTTTTTCAGAGGTAGCGCTTCTTTTTTTCACACAACTCTAGTATCTTACGTCTGGTTGTAAAGAACTTTGCTAATTTAAAAAGATAACTAAAGCAGCTAGAAGTCAATCCCCAACCACTTTGTGATTTCAGCTTACCGTCTGGGAAATATAAAGCACTGAAATGCAAAAATGATGATTTTTATGCGCTATTTTTTACGAAATTTTGACTTTAAAAACTCGGGAAAAGTAAACAAATTAATTGTGCGTCGTTTAAGATATCGCTTATTGAAATCTATGGAGAAACTTTGGAGCTAAAATTCTTTAATCAAACCTAAAAAATTAAAAAAAATTAACAAAAAATACCTTTTTGAGGGTTGCGGGCCCAACTGCCAATTGGGAATTGGGTTCGCGAACAGGTACCAAATGTACAACCCTTTTTCGTTTGCTTTGTTACCCATTGGCAGTTGGGCACGCAACCTTCAAAAAGGTATTTTGTGCTAATTTTTATACCCGTACTCAAAAAAGAGTAAAGGGGTATATTAGATTTGTGGTAAAAGTGGATGTGTGCAACGCAGAGAAGGAAACGTTTCCGACCCCATAAAGTATATATCAATAGCCGAGTCGATATAGCGATGTCCGTCTGTCCGTCCGTCTGTCCGTCTGTCCGTCCGTCCGTCTTGATGAGCGCCTGGATCTCAGAGACTATAAAAGCTAGAGCAACCATCCAGAATGACAAAATTAATTATCAGTTGCTTCCCATGCCCCCTCCAGGCAACGACAACGCAACTCATTTTCCATCTCGCTCGCACACTCTGCCGCGTTCAGTGCGCGAGCAACCCCTAGCGGAGGAGATGTAGAATATGAATGGTACATCTATAATCTACATGTTAGATGTAAAATATACATTGTAGATGTAGATAACAGATGTAGCAAAAAAATGTAAAATGTAAAATTTTTTTTTATTCTAAAATTCTAAAAAATCATAAGCTCAAAAATGTATATGCTGACTGAGTACGGGTATAAGTAGAGTCGCGTCGCTAGAAGCGACTCACACGTTCCTTCTCGTTTTCAGCTGCTTTAGTTATCTTTTTAAAATAGCAAAGTTCTTTACAACAAAACGTAAGATATTAGAGTTATGTGAAAGAAAGAAGCGTTACCTCTGAAAAAAGCTTAAAAAAATACCAGAATTTAAAAAGTAAAAAAAAAATGTTCTGCCATAGAAAAAAAAAACAATAATTCTTAAAAAAAATTTAAAGTCCCATATCTATCAGAAAAAGTCCGTTAGGATCCTTGAGGGGAAAAAAGTTGGATTTTGTCGAGTAGTGTTATTCATTGTACCGACGGCAAAACAAAAAATATTGTTTATCACAAAGCATTGCAATAAATAAAATATATTATTAAATCAAAATTGTCATTGTTTAATTTCGATGAATTCCTAAACATTAAATTAATAAGCAGCGAAGCGCGCGGGTCTGCTAGTATATGTGTATATATTAGGCTGGGCCAAAATTTGACCAAACAATTTTTTTTTTTTTTTTTTAAGGAGACACCCCCCAATTCTGTACTTTGTTATTCAATAAAATTATGCAACTTTTTTAAAATTTTTAATTTAATGTTTTGGGGTTGCTACCACAAAAAGAAAAAAAAACTTTTTTGGTTAAATATACGTTAAAAAAATTAATTGAATTCGTCGGTTTTTTTCAAATAAAGTTAAGACTTAGAAACTATTTCATATTGATAATAATGTATTTTTTTTTTTAGTTACTGTTAAAAAATTAACGATTGGTGAAAATCAAGAAGTTCAGCTGAGGTTGATATATTTAGTTAACTTGTTCGCAAAAACTTGAGCAGGTTTTTTAACGCAAAAAACTGATTAATGACGATTGAATGGTATCAATATATATGCAATAGATTTCACCAATTATCTAACTCATTCAGCAAAAAAATTGTTGGCCTAGCCTAATATATATGGACAGACAATGATTTTAAGGTCTTTAAAAATTACCCGGTAAAAACCCAGAAGGGCTTTTTTAGAATTTGCATTTCAAAATCAGATCTTAAGCTTACTCCCGCTTGAGTATCTTAAATACTATACAATGATACAGGGCACAAGCATTAACTCTTACAATGATGCCTTTTTCAGCCTGCAGCGCGTAGTGGAACAGTCAATCAACACAAAACAAGGTATAAATATTTGCTCCAGCATCTATTGACGCTAAATTAGCTGTACTTGGCATGCGCAAGACAGGCCTATCCACTTTGCAAGTGTAAGCGCTGCTCCAGATCCCTTTCAATTACTGGCCAGTTGCAAGCGGATGTATATATAGCCTACACGGCAGGTGATTCAATGAACGATGCGTTGTTTAGATTGCTATGCAACCATTCATCAACCATTTTCGAATATCTTGACTTTTAACCAGATCAGCAAATCAGAACTCAATATTAGCGCAACCGGTAAATTACACTACCCGACACGATTTTGTCTTAAGGAACCAAAACAACTTTTTCTGAAAGATTTGGGGCTTAGCAAATGTTTTATGATTTTTTTTTCTATGTCAGAAGAATTTTTGAAAACTGATCATTTTTTTATACCCGTACTTAAAAAGAGTTAAGGGGTATATTGTATTTGTGGTAAAAGTGGATGTGTGAAACGCATAGAAGGAAACGTTTCCGACCCCATAAAGTATATATATTCTTGATCAGCTTCAATAGCCGAGTCGATATAGCCATGTCCGTCTGTCCTTCCGTCCGTCTGTCCGTCTCGATGAGCGCCTAGATCTCAGAGACTATAAGAGTTAGAGCAACCAAATTTTGTTTCCTGACTCATGTGATATCACACTGCTACAAGTGTATTTCAAAATTTCGCCCCGCCCCCTTCCGCCACCACAAAGGACGAAAATCTGTGGCAGGCACAATTTTAAAGATACCATAAAAGATTATATAACAGATGTAGCAAACAAATTTTAAATGTAAATTTTTTTTAAATTCTACATAAATCAAAAGCTCATAAATTTATATACTGACTGAGTACGGGTACAAAGGTAAAGTCGCGTCCCCAGAAGCGACTCACATGTGCCTTCTTGTTTTATTTACAAAGAAAAATCATAACAAGTGTGTGTCCGTTTAAAAAAATTTGTTGTTCAAATTTCGGTCCGGCCCAATGTACATCCTTGTGATTAAAGTTTTTCAATGTTTGCAGGGAGTCATTATTTTGTATGCTGACAATGTTAACAATATGTACATATCTGAGGCTGCCGAAGGTTATATTTTGTGAAATATGACTTCACTAAGAATAAAAAACAAATAACCTGCTTAGTTTGGGATCCCTTTTGCCTATTTTTTAAAATCAATAATAATATATAATAATAATATATAATAATAATAATAATAATAATAATAATAATAATAATAATAATATAAAAAAGAATAAGCCTACGGAATCAAGCTCTTTAAGCTAAGTGTGTGATTCTTAATCAAGCCGAGATTCAGTGGAGTTGACCTGCAAATTTAATGGATTATGTCTTATTTTATTTTATCCACACACATATATAACAATATGTATACATTACCAATTCCGTTCAGCTTACATATGTTTGTACAATTTATATTGCTATAAGTCTGTGCGTGCTTAGATTTCCGCATGTACATATGTACATAAAAAGTAGATGGCACAATTTGCTTAATTTGCTAAATTATTACGCACACCACACATACGTACAAGAAACCACTTATTGAAGTATTTGAGTGTATATGAAAATGTACGACTGGAGACTGAAAACACTTTGTCACAAATTTGTTAGCATGAATTAAATTGATTCGTTTAGTTTCGCCGTATGGTTGACTTCACATATTGGATGTAAGAACCACAGGAAACAAGTTTTTTTTTTGTATTTTTGGTTTGCAAGAAAAAAAAAGTTTACAAAAAAATGTATATATGTATATATATATGTGGACAAATAAGGATTTTACAGTCGTTAAAACTTACCCGGTAAAAACCCAGAAGGGCTTTTTTAGAATTTGCATTTCAAAATCAGATCTTAAGCTTACGAATGCGAGCTTGATGTTTATATATAAATATATATATATTTGTTTTCACCTCCCGCTTGAGTATCTTAAATACTATACAATGATAAAGGGCACAAGCATTAACTCTTACAATGATGCCTTTTTCAGCCTGCAGCGCGTAGTGGAACAGTCAATCAACACAAAACAAGGTATAAATATTTGCTCCAGCATCTATTGACGCTAAATTAGCTGTACTTGGCATGCGCAAGACAGGCCTATCCACTTTGCAAGTGTAAGCGCTGCTCCAGATCCCTTTCAATTACTGGCCAGTTGCAAGCGGATGTATATATAGCCTACACGGCAGGTGATTCAATGAACGATGCGTTGTTTAGATTGCTATGCAACCATTCATCAACCATTTTCGAATATCTTGACTTTTAACCAGATCAGAAAATCAGAACTCAATATTAGCGCAACCGGTAAATTACACTACCCGACACGATTTTGTCTTAAGGAACCAAAACAACTTTTTCTGAAAGATTTGGGGCTTAGCAAATGTTTTATGATTTTTTTTTCTATGTCAGAAGAATTTTTGAAAACTGGTAATTTTTTTATACCCGTACTTAAAAAGAGTTAAGGGGTATATTGTATTTGTGGTAAAAGTGGATGTGTGAAACGCATAGAAGGAAACGTTTCCGACCCCATAAAGTATATATATTCTTGATCAGCTTCAATAGCCGAGTCGATATAGCCATGTCCGTCTGTCCGTCTCGATGAGCGCCTGATCTCAGAGACTATAAAAGCTGGAGCAACCAAATTTTGTTTCCAGACTCATGTAATATCACACTGCTACAAGTGTATTTCAAAATTTCGCCCCGCCCCCTTCCGCATCCATAAAGAACGAAAATCTGTGGCAGACACAATCTATATGGTACATGTACAATCTACATGTTAGATGTATAATATACATTGTAGATGTAGATAACAGATGTAGCAAAAACGAGAAGGAACGTGCGAGTCGCTTCTGGGGACGCGACTCTACTTATACCCGTACTCAGTCAGTATATATATTTTTCATTTTGATTTAATTGAATCTGAAGAAGCGACTCACACGTTCCTTCTCGTTACTTTAAAAACTCAGGATAATTTATGTTGGTTTTGGTTATTTTTAAATGCTTTTATTCGTTTTACTTGTGTACAATTTGAGAACTGCTGGTCTTGCTAGAAGTGCTGTGTGCTGGTGGACTGCTCAGTGTAGTGTCTTGCAGTGCAGTGTCTTGGGTTTGGGCTGATGGACTGCCTAGTGCAGTGTCTTGGGTTTGGGCTGATGGACTGCCTTCTTCTTCGGCCGATCTTGGCCCTTTTATGCAGCTGGCGATCGCACCTGAGACCGTGATTTTGGTTACGGTTATGGTCTGTCTTCGACCGGGAAATAGTTAATTATTACTAACTTATGAATATTTGGTGACAATAATTTTGGGGCGTGGTAAGTGGGTCGAAGCTTCGTGCTTCGTTGACAATTGTTAGTGGGTCAGTGGGTTTGAGGAAAGTGTTTTGCTGAGACTGCATCGCAGTTGGTGCGGGATGCAGTTGGGAATTGGGTTTAGAAATGAGGTTTCGCTAACTCTGCATCGCAGAAGGTTATATCTGCATTTGGGTCGATAATTTGAGGCCGAGTGGTTGTGAAATATCGCAAAGAAGTGGGTGGCCGAGAATTTCGTGCTGTCTTCGCTGATTGCGAAATAATGCAAGAGGTGGGTTGTTTTAAATTGATGTGTAGACAAGAATGGGTAGAGTTGTTGATCGAGAGTTCTTAATTTTAGTAATTGCGAGCGTTGCTTAAGACTATTTTATTTTCCGGAGGTGCTGACACACCGCTATTTGTGGAGAACCGTGACTAGAGCCATGGTTCGTTGGCTCTGTGTATATCAGTTTGATTATTGTCTCCGACCTTTTTCCGGGTGGGTGATGGATAGATTAGTGGCGTCGGCGGCGTTGCTTGGCGGATGATGAGGTTCGTTATATAACGTTATATTTTCTACTGCTGCTGTGATCGTGGAGCTCTTTCTGCTGTTCTGGGTGCTTTATAGTTGGATTCTGCTTGGTGGGTCGATTATCCCATATGAATATGGTTTTCTCGGCGATGTCTGACGTCCCGTGGAGATTAGAAAACTTGGGTAGGTCTATGTCCAGGCTTTCTCGAATCTGCGGTGCTATGTCGGGTGGCCAAGGATCCGTGGGCAGTTCTGGCTCGTCTTCGGTGGGATCGGTGGCTTCGGAGTCAAATGGCTGGCTGGGGTCTTCTGGTAGGAGGGTTGTGTCGAAGGCGCTGGGCGTTTCGATCCTCCGTTGGTAGTCGCTTATGTGAGTGACGATGGCGCTAAGAATCATGTCGGTACGCGGAAGGTACTCCAATGGGTTGGCGAAGATCTGTGTGGTGTCGGCCGTGGGTACGACAGGGCGGTGGACGGTGTATCGGGGGGTCATCGTCCTGGTTTCCAGGTCCGCGTTGAGGCTCTGTGGATATTTGTTCGATTGTTGGCCCAGACCAGCGTGGGGTTAGCGTGTCTGTTTCCCGTGTTGCTGGGCTGTCGGATGGTGGCTGCCATTGTCCTTGTTCGATGCCGGTGGTCGGCTTTGAGGGTGTCCGTGTGTTCAATTCTTCCGTTGCGGATTCTGTACGTGCTTTCTCTGTTACTTGTCTTGGACCTGGGCTTCATGTGTCGAGCGCCGGGTTCAAGTGCGTTTGTCTCGTGTGTGAGATCCTCGTGGTTTGTTCGGGATGCGTGTTCCCTGTTGTTGGCCTAGGACGCAGTGTGGTGCCGCATTGGATCGTCGTTTCGATGGCATCTAGGAAGTTCATGCCGACAAAACTTTGTCCCAACATGTTTGGCAGGACCAGGAGCAGATTTGAACCTCTCGTTGATCCAGCTTGATGTGCGCCAGTAGAACTTGTGAGATCTCTCTGACCGAGCCATCGGCCGGGCGTATGCGGACGCATGCATCTTGCAGGTTGGTGTTGTTGTCGGGATGGTCCGCTCTTGGATGCTCTCGAACTCGGTGGCCAACAGTGTGAGCTGTGCCAAGCTTTGTAGTTCGTGTCGCCGCACATACATCTGGTAAGCTGGCAGGGCGTTGTCGTAGATCCTGTTCAGCTCCTTGGCTGCGTCGTACCCTGCGTGGTGCATGAGTAGCCGTATCTCGATGAGGTAATCCTTGCACAATTCCCCTACCGCTTGCTTGCGGGCCCTGATCTGGTTTTCCAATTGTTCAAAATACCGTGGCGGCAAGAAGAACGTCAAGAATTCTTGGCGGAAATATGCCCATGAGCTGCCTTGCAGTTGTCTGGTGCGGTACAAGCGACTGGCCCGATCGGTGAGAAGTTCTGTCATGGGCCGAGGCAGCTGATTTGTGTCTACCCCATATGAGAGCGCACGTTCTTCGAGTAATTCCAGAAATGCAAGTGGGTCGTCCTGT